AAAAGTACTTTCTATGAAGGAACACGGTAACTCTTAACTAGAGAGAGGACAACCATTATCCTTTCATATTTGCTTGTCAATGCTTTCACCACATTGAAGCTAACCAAATTCTTTTCGAAAACACAAATCCAAAAAATAACATTCTATTGTAAGAAGGGGTGGAAAAGGGAAGCAAAAAGGGAAAAAGGAAAAGAAATATTTGCGAGATACTAAGTACAGTGACTTCATTTATTCTTACTTGATGATATAGGACTCCCAAAAGATCAAAAGGAACCTCCAAGCCCATAGGAACCTGCAGCAAATAGGAGCAATAGATATCAAACCTAAATGAAATATGCAAACTTCAAGCTTGCATGCGTATGTCCTTCAACCATTTCCAAGAAATGCAACCGTGAAATTCGAACACTACTTTGGATTTTACAACACAGGTTGGGGCATTTCTTAAACATTCTGCAGCTACACCTCCATACGCTCTAACTAATCCTCCAGTTCCAAGTTTGATACCGCCAAAATACCTACAACAAACGAGAAACATATCTAATGAAACTTTCATACCAAAGGATATGCATATCTCCATGGGCTTCATGCAGATACAACAAGTACAGTTTTCTGACATCCTTAAACTATGCAAATCATAGTCCCAAACTGAGAACATACACGCTTACATATATTTCATTGCTAAAACTAGATTAGGAAAGCAAATAGTGCAATTCTTTACCTGATGACAACAACTATAACTCTATCTATCCCTGAAGCTTCAATAGCAGATAGTATTGGCTTGCCAGCTGTACCCGATGGTTCACCATCATCATTACTACGAAATTGAGCACCGACCTAAAATTGTGGACCGGACATTTTTAGATGTTCCAGCTCATGTTTTTCCTAATCGACAAATACCCAAAATTTGAGCTGTCACTACTCACAATTACAGCTACAGCTAGGAGAAATGTTTTTTTTGTTTTTTAACAGAAAATGAATGCAGTTCAATCTTACACACAGGATTACAGAAAAATGTATTCAACCATTGAATCCAACAAAATAGTTGACGAAATTCTTGGGCTTTATAATTCCAGCAAGCTAAGCTTTATATTATATACAAATGCATGAAACACACATGCACACGCACGCAAAGCATGAATGTTACCTTGTAAGCCCAGCAATTGTGAGTGGCACGAGGTTGACGAACCTAAATAGCAGCACAACCCACCAAAGAAAACAATAGAAACCAAAAAAGGAATTTATTGTCATGTTAAAAAATAAACCAGAAGCTTTAATTTCAGCTTCTCATCCGCCTCGGATGATACGCACAAACACAAAAACCTATAATTGAACTTCGAAAAAGCCGACGGGTTGTATCAGTAACTTTACCTCGGACAGGAAAGCAAAGGCGGCGCGCTCGTCAGATACAGAACCTGCAACCGCGATGAATTTGCTTTTCTTGATTTCCTTCTCGAATGTGACTCTCTCGGACAGTGTTGTGAACGCGCCATCGCCAGAATTGGCGGAAGAAGAACCGGTGACCATTGAGAATCTCTTACTCCGTGTACATGTACGAGAAAATGCTAAAATGGGTGTTGAAATGGAGTTTCGACCATACAATTTATGGAGGTTTATTGGCAGATAATTAGAGACGACAAGCATGAAGTGATAATTTAGGGAAGAAAGGATTTTCCTGGTTCGAAGTTATACGTTTGGTTGGGAAAGATGATGAGAAATATTGTAGAATTTTGTATTGTTATCAATTTGTAGGCCTTTTTTGTTCTAATTTTTATTTCTCAAATGAAATTGAACTTCCTTATGGTTTATAATGGGCGATTGATATCGTGATTGATATCTCGCGAGAGGTGATGGTCGGCTTCTTCTCGGCCTTGGGTGCCATCTTTTGAGGGAGAGATAGGATATGTGTGGGGGATGGGGGATTGGGGACGATCTTCTCCACAAGAACTCTGTTCAGAATTGGAATCAAACGTTTGGTCATGACTGAAAATGTGAAATGACAAGGAATTAAAAAACAATTTGAAGAACAAGAACAATTTAATTCGTAAATTAAATGTTAAGGTTGTGATCATATGTTTATTTATATAGAGAATCGCTATACAAATTAGATAAATATATGGGCTTCAAAATAATATCATTTTATAATTTAGTAATTTAAATTTAAATTTTAATTAAGGGCATCATAAGTTTTTAGCAAGCACGAGGCGACCAAAATTCTTTTTTTTT